TCTGACTGATGATGCGGACATAGAATGAGAAAGAAGGGCATTGGCGGTTCGCTGTAACATGCTGTCCCGTAGCTTTGCACACTGTACAGCAAAATGTTAAGATAACACTTTTCAAAACCTTTTGCCAGTCATTTCACACGGGCAGTCTATAGATACCTATTCTATAGGTCTATAGGTATAGGTATACTCAGAGAGCTTACAATGCTCTTCGGGTACAATATAATAATGCCTTAAGGGTGCTGATGGGACTTCCGCGGTATTGTAGCGCAGCGATGTTTACAGCGTACGGTACGGACGGTTTCCATACCATAATTTGAAATAGAATAACATACCTGATGCGAAGGGTCCGTGGGAGCTCCAATAGCATTCTGAGGGTAATATCTGATCGATTTGATTGTCCCATCCTAGGGCACTGGATGCGTATGCACTTGCATGTGACTGGTGTCATAGTTTGCCGAAAATAAAAATAATTGTTATGAAAATTGAGCGTGTAATAATTTAAGACTAAAATAGTTTAAGCTAATTTACTAACATAATTATGGACTATACGTGGGTCTGAAATAAATTGTTATTATTATTATTACATAAACTTTTCCTGGACATAGCCTTTCTCGTTTGGCGGCTATTTATTTCAATACATACTTATATTTTCAAATATTTATTCTTTAGAATCCTACTATTATTTTCTGCCGGGATGCAAAACTATTTAAAATAATTTAAGCACAATTTTCGATTTTCTTTTTTATTAGGCTTGTAGTACAATTTAGACATTGCTACGCACATTAATATCAAAATTAAAAGTAAAAGCTAATGTGAAATATAATTCGCAGATAAACAAATATTATGTTCTATTGAGTTTCAAGAACAGTTTTGGTTAAACTGTAATATTATCCTTCGGTTCCAGCGCATTTAATTAAAAAGGCCATAAGAATTACGTAACCAAATTTTAAGATGAAACCTAATTGTCATCAAGCTCCGTCCCTAAAAACTCGGGATGATAAATATTAATCTATGCAGTCGTTATCACAACATGAAGAGTTTAAAAAAATAAGGACAATACTTGCGTCTCGTAAGGATACATTAGTTTTGTCTAACGTGCAAATATCGCTATATAAATAATACTTTATTTCGTGTAGTTTAATCTTTAACTATTTTTTATGCAGTTAGTTGTCACCATCGATGTCACCAACTATATAATTACCAAAAATTTTGTTGCATATAACGTATATGCGATCATTATTTACTTAATATACTTTATTTAATCTTTCAACATTGTTTTCTTTTGGATACAATTGGAGATATTTTTCCTCCCTTGTAAGTGCGTACAGTCCATTTGTACCCATAAATTAATCACGAATATGTACACTAAGGGAAGATTACGCTCGCACAGAATAGGAGCCTAAAGTGGCAGTATAATACTGCTCTTTCGTATGGTGAGTGAAATGAACCGTGACAATACCTCTGCAACTTTATTCTTAATGGTCAATAGAGAATTCAGGATTTTATACGTGGAAGAGCCACGCTGCAGCTATATTATGGTTGTAACATGCATTGGTCATGACTCAATCGGAGAAGAACCGCGTTCTCATAGACTTTCCTTTTTTACTTAGGTTTTTGTCCCGTATTCAATATCTAAGCTATAAAATACGAGTAAGCAGGGAAATCGTGCTGTTCAGGCTTAATGCCTGAAGTGATTTAAGTGAAATGCGCGAATGAGTGATTGCCTTCAGCTCGTCAGAAGGCGCTAATGTGCTTCTCAAAGCAAATTCACAATGTCATCTCACTTGTCAACCAAACGCTGTACGATTAACATTCTTTTGTCTAATATAACTAATTTTGAAAAGTAAGAGCATTTTATTTGCACAAGTTTATCCTCTAAAGATAAAACATGGTGGCCCATGAGGGGAACTAAAAAGAATCCGCAAGAAAATCAATAAAAGTCAAGAAACTCGTCAAACACAACCATCGGCGGACTTCGAATTTTACAACGGATTTATTGCTATGGACGGAACCTTGCAGTGAACAGTCTAAAGTCACGGGTTTCAAGCATCACAATCGAAAAGTATACTGAGAAGAAGATCAAGTTTCGAGCAGTACAACAGCGAAACTTATATATCGAGACGTGACCTGGTGCTCGCCGCCGAAATTAAGTGTAAAAAATAAAAATATAAATTTCTTTGCAACTTTCCGCTAAACATATAAAATGATGTGTCTTACCTGGATTGAAGCGCACCTCCCGCCCTCCCTCAATTGCATACACTAACTCCGTCACCACTAGACCAAGCACCACTACTGTCAACACCACTATTACGGGCAAGACACACCATCGACGATAATACGACACGTGTTTCGCCTCTACACGAGGCATCCTCAGGTAATATAGACTCTACGGCGGCTGACCGCTAAGTGAGCGGCGAGTCGAAACAGTTGCTATTTATACACGCTGACACAATCGCTCCCTACCAAAGTAGCGAGTGACCGCGTCGTGCGATAACAAACCTGCCAACAGTTATTATTATTGTTATGATTATTTTTAAATACTATTATTATTATTGTTTTGAGTGACCGCGCCGTGCGATAACAAATCTGCTACTAATTATTATTGTGGGGTATCTATATAGTTTTCTCATCTGGTTGGGTTCTATAAATATATAATTATAAATGAAAATGAAAAGATAAATATACATAAATATCAATAACATAAAATAAATATAAAAATACATAAATAAATAAAAGCCCAACCAGATGGAGGCCCTCGGCAGGGGAGACCAAACGGCCGAGGGTTAGGGGGAAAGGGAAAGAAACCGGCGGACGATGCGGGCGGTATCGAGGAGCACCGCCTTCTGCATTTGAGCCCGGAGCGGTCCGCCACGTAGTCCCAGTCGCCTCAGATGACCCGAGAGGCTGACTGGGATTAGCCCGTTTGCAGAGACGACTACAGGAATAATTTCGGTCGGCAGACCACCCCACATGTCAGTCACCTCGTGAGCCAGGTCCAGATATTTTGTTTGCTTGTCTGTTTCGGCTTTCACGAGGTTCTCGTCATACGGAATGGTAATGTCGACCAAAAATATCCTTGACTGTGCCCGGTCCATCAGCACAATATCAGGCTTATTCGCAAGAATAGTCCTGTCTGTGATGATGGCCCGGTCCCAATAGAGCCTGGCGCGATCATTTTCGAGCACGGCTTCCGGCAAGTACTTGTAATACGGCAATTTCCGATCCACGAGACCGTATTTCAGAGCGAGCTCCTGGTGAAGAATTCTGGCTACTAGGTTGTGCCTGTGCAAGTACTCAGAGTTAGAAAGCGCCGAACAACCGGAGATGACATGCCTAAGTGACTCACCGGGATGGCGACAAGCTCGACAGATGTCCACGGTGCCATCCTTTAGGATGTATCTCCGATAGTTGTTGGTCTTAATAACCTGATCCTGTATTGCACAGACAAAACCCTCGGTTTCCCCGAATAGATCACCAAAGCGTAGCCAGTAGAGGGAGGCTACTGTGTCTACGAAAGGCTCATGTAGAGCCTTGTAGAACCTCCCGTGGAGCTCCTTCTCCTTCCATACGTTCTCCCGGTCGGAAATTGTCTGCACTGCCGGGTCTTGCCATTGCTCGTTGGCTAAGGATAGAGGGGTAAGTCCTTTATCACAAAAAATGACGTCCTTATAGAATGGATCATCCGATCTCGCCAGGAAGTAATTACGGAGGCTGCACACTTCGCGATTATGCATGGTGAGCGCGCTCAAGAAGCCACGCCCACCATGCTTTCGCGGCAAGTACAGCCTCATTACCGACGATCTCGGATGATGCATCCTGTGGGACGTCATGGTAGTGCGGACTTTTCTATCCAGGGCGTTAAGTTCAGTCTGAGTCCACCTGAGTATGCCAAAGGTATACATGAGGACAGGCATGACCCAGCCGTTATATGCGTGTGTCTTATTCACACCGGACAAAAGGCTGTTAAGCACTTTGGTCAAGCGTGCATAAAACACGTCGCAAACTGACTGTTTCATACCAGTCTCATCGATACCGATGTTCTGTGACATACCCAGGTATCGGTATGTTTCAGCCTCGGAAAGGGTCCTTAAGTTGACGGGCATAGATAAGTCTATGCCCTCAGAGTTAGCAACCCTCCCCCTTTCAACATGGAGGACCGCACACTTATCCGTTCCCAGCTCCATTCCAATAGAATTGCTAAATTCACAAGTGATGTTTAGTAATTCCATAAGATGGGAGCGACTGGAGGCGAATAACTTGAGGTCATCCATATAGAAAAGGTGGGTCACTTTTGTACCTCCTTTCCGAAGCTGAAATCCCCTCCCGGAGCCCTCCAGTAAAGTACTGAGAGGGTTCAGGGAGAGGCAAAACCAGATTGGACTCAGACAATCGCCCTGGAAGATACCCCTTCTTATCCTTATGTGGTTCTCCGCAGCCATCATCCGCTCGCCCAGATAGCAAAGGATCGTACTCCATTGCCCCATACACTGCTCGAGGAAGTCTCCAACTGTACAGTCAATTTTGTACAGCCGGAGGACTCTCTTTAGCCATGTATGGGGCACCGAGTCGAATGCCTTTCTGTAGTCTATCCAGGCGGCGGAGAAATTCCGACGGTTGCGTTTCACCACTTTGCCAATGACCGCGTCAATGAGGAGTGGTTCCTTGGTTCCACGACCACCGCCCCGGCATCCATTTTGAGCGCGTGACATCACCTGATTTAGCTCCAGGTGACGAGTGATTCTCGCGCTCAAAATGGATGTCAGTGTCTTATATATGGTGGGTAGACACGTGATGGGGCGGTATTTGCTCGGGTCTGTGGTATCCTGATCTTTAGGAACCAAATGAGTGATCCCAGTAGTGAAGAGGCTCGGGAGCGACTTCTGATCGAGAGCCTCTTGAAACTGTCGGGCGAGCACAGCGTGACACACTACGAACCCCTTCAGCCAGTAATGATGCAGCCCGTCGAGCCCCGGACTTTTCCAGTTCGGGGCCCTACGGACCGCCTCAGCCACGTCTTCAGGCGTTATAGTGACGGGGTCCATAGGCGTAACACTTGCACTCTGGCTCGCCACAACTTCCATCCAAGGGCCCTCGCTGTGGTTTACGGGCTCTGACCACAGGCCACGCCAAAATGCGACAGTGTCAGCCTGATCCGGTCCTGGGCCCGCTCCACATACCTTTGGTCGCTCCAATGTTTTATAGAGCCTCTTCTGATCACTCTGGAAGAGACGATTCTGGTTGAACCGCCTTGACCTCTCGCTAAATCGTCGAATCCGCTTCCCCCAAGCAGCGATTTTTTGCTTCAGGTCATCTATGCGCTCCGTTAGTTTTTGCGTGATATCCGGCTGGAACAAATTGATATTTGTCCCAGCAAACGCCATCCTAACGGTGCGCATAATCCTCGGTCTATTATTACCCGACCTGAAGCTTGTCAGTCTGCCGATAAGGGCCCTTGCCTTTGCGATACGGTCCTCAATTCTTTTTCTCCAGGCTGGGATGGCGCTACTTTTTTGAGTAGCACGTCCAGCCACGGGAAGTTTGGCGCCAATAATACGGCATACTGCCAGTGCGGCGCCAAAAAGAATTGAATCCGTCTCGCAAAGGTCCCGGCTGGCTTCAAAATAGGTCACCAGCATTGGGTTAAGAGCCCGCACGACAGCCCGATTTCGCTTGCTAAGGGGTATGCGGGGAAGTCGCGGTCGATTTTCGAGAGGCATGCTGCGCGTTTCCAGCATCGACTCTTCCAATATGCTCCTCATTTTCTCTAGTTCGTGGGAGACTATTCCATCATCGTCTGAATTAGCCACAAATGGAATGTTGACGGCAGCATCCACATATGCAGTTTGTTGCGCATCTAGTGGCGCCGCATTCCCAGCCGTAGCATTTCCATTCGATGAAGGAATAGCCTCACGTCGTAGTCGCTCGAGTTCGGCGTCACCAAATATGTTGGAGCGCAGGATGTACCTAACTCGGTCTGCCAGGTTTTGCTCAGTGACGGATAGAGATGGCTCCAGCTCTGCAAAAAAGCGATGCATCCGAGCCCGATACGCCAAACATCCAGTTTCTTCCCCTTTTTGCCCTAAAATACGCCCGCAGTGCGTTTTCATTCATTGATTTAGACCAACGCATGCGACGTGCTCCACCAGCGGCGGGTGTCGCTTGCTGAGTCCGAGAAGACCCAGCCGACACCAAGCCTTCTGGTGGGGATGATGGATGCGGGGGGCTGCTAGGTGGTCTTGCAACACCCCGCGCTCGGCTGGCGGCCCGCATGCTGTCGCGTCCAGCGCCAGCTCCAGACGCGCCCTGGCGACCTCCAGGCAGCGGCCCTTTGCGCACTATCTTTTTCTCCATCATCCATAATATGGGCGTCCATTAACGGGAGACGCCCAGGCCCGGCACCGTATCGTGAAAAACTATTATTATTATTGTTTTATTGATATTATTATAATTATTTATTATTATTAATCTTAAAATTATTATTAAGGATTGGCCTTAAAGATGTTTAACAAAGGTGAATTAGAAACATTTGTTTGTTCATTCAGCAGTGTATAATTACCATTATTACTTTTTAAAATCTCCAACTGCTCCAGCACACACAGTCGCAGCCCCTTATTACAGGTATGTAAGACTTCAAAGGAATGGTCGCTAGCTAGGTTGTGTCCAGTGTCCAAGAGATGTTTAGCAAAATGGGATTTATCAGGATTGCAATTTCTGTACGCGGCCATATGTTCTTTATAGCGCGTCCCGAAATTGCGACCAGTCTGACCCACGTAAACGGCGTGGCATTCGTCACAAACAAGTTTATAAACACCCGATTTTTGACTAATATTTAACTTATCTTTATTATTACAAATATTCCTAAGCGAATTGTTTGTTTTGAATGCCACGTTAACGCCGTTTTTCTTAAGACTATTAGCAATTTTTTCCGATATGGGGCCTAAGTAGGTCAAACTACCCACATACCGCCGGACACTTTGAGATCGAACCGCGTACAAAGAATTGCGAACAACATGCTTTTGTTTCTTTTTAATAAGATTATCAACGAGACTTTTTGAAAAACCGTTAGAGACCGCAATTTGATAAATTATATTAAGTTCTTTTAAATAATTTTCTTCATTTAATGGAACAGTGGACAGACGGTTAATGTAACAATAAAAAGCGGCTAATTTATGTTGCCATGGATGACACGATGATGCGGGGATGACCGTGTCGGTATGAGTTGGCTTTCGATAAATTTGAAAAACATGTAACGACTCTTTTCTCGTTATTGTTAAATCAAGGAAATTAAGGGAGCCATCTTGTTCCAATTCAAGCTTAAATTTAATTTTTTTCGTGGACTCTATTTATTTTATTAAGGAAAACATCCAGTTGTCTCCTTGTGCCTGTCCAGCAAATAATTATGTCGTCTACATATCGATAATAGTATAAGATATTTTGGTTAACAACTATATGTTGTTTTTCGAAATCATCCATGAAAATGTCCGCCATAAGTGGACTTAGAGGGGACCCCATAGCTAACCCTTCTTTTTGTAGATAGAAACGGTTATTAAACCGGAAATAATTTTGTTTCATACAGAGAGAGGTTAAATTAAGAAGATCATTTGTTTCCCCGGGATGCAGACGACGTTTTTTAAAGAGATCTGAGAGTATACGCAAACAGTCAGGGAATGGGACGTTTGTGAAAAGACTATCAACGTCTAAAGACAACAACATAGATTTAGGTGGAATACGAATATCTTTTATTTTGGAAATAAGTTCTAAACTATTTTTAAGGCTGTAAGTGGGGTTGAAACCAGATTTCTCCCGAAGGAGGAAGTTTAATTTTTTAGCAAGGAAATAAGCTGGTGCACCTATATATGAGACAACTGGACGAATAGGAACATGTTCTTTATGTAATTTAGGTAACCCATATAAAGTGGGTGCTTGAGGATTCATTGGAACAAGATTGCTCCGAGACAAGTTGTGATCGGGAAAAACATATGACGACTTTTGTATACATACTTTAATATCCGAAGTAAACTTTTTGGTTGGATCAGACTCTAACAGCTGAAAGTCGTCACCTTGGATAACATCGTTAACCTTCTGGCTATACCCGCTACTCTCCATAATGACAACAGTATTTCCCTTGTCGGCCTTAGTAACAATAAGGTTATTGTCTTTTATTCTATGTTTTAGTGACATAAAAATGGGGAACTCAGGATTGCAATGGGAAGATGCGGGTGCCTCCTGAATTTCTTTAGCTAATAAACTTTTAACGATGTTATCTTTCCTCCCGATCACAACAGCCACCTCCGCGTCAACGGCTACAGTCTCTAACGATCTTTGGGAGACCGAAGGTGTTAAATTATACTTTAGGCCTTTGTGTAAAAGGGACAACTCATCCGTTGGAAACTGGACATCGGAAAGATTTTTAGGTAATTGGTGTTCGTATGTATGTCGTTATTACGTTTACGGGATGAAGAAGATACAAGTCGTTTTAACTTATGGGATTGAATTTGATATTTCTCGTAAATGGCCATTGAAGCAAGTTCTCTGGCTTTCCCATCCAAAATATCAAATTCAATATTATGTAATTTATATGAAAGTTCAGAATATAATACTTTAAGGTGGGTTTTTAAGTTATCTCTATTGGAAAACCAACGACGACATTCCTCATTAAGCCAAATATTCTGAGCTTTGGAAATGGCAACACTGGCCGCTCGACTATGTGTGTTAGAACGTATTTGGATATAATTGGGAATAACATGAAGTTGTTTACACTGCTGATTAAACCAAACATTTTGAGCAGCAATACGATGTAGCTTATTATTGTTATGATTAATATTTTAAATACTATTATTATTATTGTTTTATTGATATTATTATAATTATTTATTATTATTAATCTTAAAATTATTATTAAGGATTGGCCTTAAAGATGTTTAACAAAACGGAAAGTTGCAAAGAAATTTATATTTTTATTTTTTATTATAATGGATTTCCGCATAGTAACGCCTGATTCTATCAATTATCTTAAAAAGGCTAGCACGGCCGAACAGGCAAGACTCTATGTTAAATTAACAAAGCTACATCGTATTGCTGCTCAAAATGTTTGGTTTAATCAGCAGTGTAAACAACTTCATGTTATTCCCAATTATATCCAAATACGTTCTAACACACATAGTCGAGCGGCCAGTGTTGCCATTTCCAAAGCTCAGAATATTTGGCTTAATGAGGAATGTCGTCGTTGGTTTTCCAATAGAGATAACTTAAAAACCCACCTTAAAGTATTATATTCTGAACTTTCATATAAATTACATAATATTGAATTTGATATTTTGGATGGGAAAGCCAGAGAACTTGCTTCAATGGCCATTTACGAGAAATATCAAATTCAATCCTATAAGTTAAAACGACTTGTATCTTCTTCATCCCGTAAACGTAATAACGACATATAAAAATCTTTCCGATGTCCAGTTTCCAACGGATGAGTTGTCCCTTTTACACAAAGGCCTAAAGTATAATTTAACACCTTCGGTCTCGCAAAGATCGTTAGAGACTGTAGCCGTTGACGCGGAGGTGGCTGTTGTGATCGGGAGGAAAGATAACATCGTTAAAAGTTTGTTAGCTAAAGAAATTCAGGAGGCACCCGCATCTTCCCATTGCAATCCTGAGTTCCCCATTTTTATGTCACTAAAACATAGAATAAAAGACAATAACCTTATTGTTACTAAGGCCGACAAGGGAAATACTGTTGTCATTATGGAGAGTAGCGGGTATAGCCAGAAGGTTAACGATGTTATCCAAGGTGACGACTTTCAGCTGTTAGAGTCTGATCCAACCAAAAAGTTTACTTCGGATATTAAAGTATGTATACAAAAGTCGTCATATGTTTTTCCCGATCACAACTTGTCTCGGAGCAATCTTGTTCCAATGAATCCTCAAGCACCCACTTTATATGGGTTACCTAAATTACATAAAGAACATGTTCCTATTCGTCCAGTTGTCTCATATATAGGTGCACCAGCTTATTTCCTTGCTAAAAAATTAAACTTCCTCCTTCGGGAGAAATCTGGTTTCAACCCCACTTACAGCCTTAAAAATAGTTTAGAACTTATTTCCAAAATAAAAGATATTCGTATTCCACCTAAATCTATGTTGTTGTCTTTAGACTTTTTCTCTACTTTTGCGTATATCTCAGATCTCTTTAAAAAACGTCGTCTGCATCCCGGGGAAACAAATGATCTTCTTAATTTAACCTCTCTCTGTATGAAACAAAATTATTTCCGGTTTAATAACCGTTTCTATCTACAAAAAGAAGGGTTAGCTATGGGGTCCCCTCTAAGTCCACTTATGGCGGACATTTTCATGGATGATTTCGAAAAACAACATATAGTTGTTAACCAAAATATCTTATACTATTATCGATATGTAGACGACATAATTATTTGCTGGACAGGCACAAGGAGACGACTGGATGTTTTCCTTAATAAAATAAATAGAGTCCACGAAAAAAATTAAATTTAAGCTTGAATTGGAACAAGATGGCTCCCTTAATTTCCTTGATTTAACAATAACAAGAAAAGAGTCGTTACATGTTTTTCAAATTTATCGAAAGCCAACTCATACCGACACGGTCATCCCCGCATCATCGTGTCATCCATGGCAACATAAATTAGCCGCTTTTTATTGTTACATTAACCGTCTGTCCACTGTTCCATTAAATGAAGAAAATTATTTAAAAGAACTTAATATAATTTATCAAATTGCGGTCTCTAACGGTTTTTCAAAAAGTCTCGTTGATAATCTTATTAAAAAGAAACAAAAGCATGTTGTTCGCAATTCTTTGTACGCGGTTCGATCTCAAAGTGTCCGGCGGTATGTGGGTAGTTTGACCTACTTAGGCCCCATATCGGAAAAAATTGCTAATAGTCTTAAGAAAAACGGCGTTAACGTGGCATTCAAAACAAACAATTCGCTTAGGAATATTTGTAATAATAAAGATAAGTTAAATATTAGTCAAAAATCGGGTGTTTATAAACTTGTTTGTGACGAA